TGACGGGTGTCGAGTCCGGCAAATAATAAAATTTATGAAAATAAGCCTATTATCTCTTATACACACTTGTGATAGCGATAAGTAGGGTCGTCTCCTCAGGGACTCGGTGTTAACTGTAAGTCCAAGACATAAACGCGTGCAAATTCATTAACATTAAAACAATATATAAAAGGGGGGGGGGGTGGATGATTTATAAACAGCCTAAAAATGCAAAATAAATTGAGAACTTAAACAATAATGAATAAATTCTACTGATGAGTATAACTAGTTCTTTATCAAATCATGTATCATTGACTTGTATAGAACGGTTCTGAACAAGAATTGTGCAAATAAAATTCAATTAAGTTTCAATGTTTAACAAGTCTCAACATAATTCAATTCAAATTAGCTATAATCCCATCACTAGAAACAGAAAATTAGCAACCCATAGTTTTAATYCGAAACAGAAATTAAACTTACGGATGGTAGAAAATTGTAGAGTATGAAGAACCCTAAGTTGAGAAATCAAAATTCATTTCTAAAATCTRGAAATGGATTTCAGTTTGCTTACAACATCTTGATTCCTCCCTCTTGATTCTCCTACTTCTCCTCTCGATCGTTACCTGCTGTTTCCAATCGATTCTGCCGCCTCTCTCGATTTTCCCTCTCAATCGACTTCTCTTGCGGCTTTTCTCCAATCGAACAGCCCCTTCGATCGACTGCCCTCTCTCGATCCTTCTCGACCGGGTCTGCTATCGACAGCTCGCTGCTGTTCCTCTCGTCTCTCTCGATCGACAGCACCTTGCTGTCACTCCCGGTCCCCTGCTGTCTCCTTCTCGGCTCTCTCGATCGACAACCCCTTTCGATTTCCCTCTCAATCCACAGCCGCCTGATGCTTCCTCCCCTCTCGATTTCTTCCTTTTAATCGCCATATCTATTTCCACGATCTCCCGTCTCTCTCTCGATCGATGCCCACGTTGTTGCTGCTCGACTTTTCCCGGACTCTCGCTGCACGATCTGTCATAGGCAGCAGCCTTGGGCTGCTGTTTCCTCTTCTTCTTTTTATTTTTTTATTTTTTTATTTTTTTTCATGGGCTGCAATTTTGGGACGCAACTTGGGCTGCAGTTTGGGCAAAAAAAAACACATAATCAACATATTTTTTTTCTCAACTTTAATGACCTCACATAGTTAGATTAACTTAAATTAAATTGGCACCTTTTAAGCATATATTTAACATTAATTGTAAGGTACTTTGACGTAAAAATGTATAAATTTGCACTTATCAAATTCTCCCACACTTAGATCATTTCCGTCCCGGCAATGACTTTAGTTAACACGTAGTTGTAAAAAGAAATAATGAATCAAATAAGAACATCAACACATATAGCATATCATGACTTTGAGATTTGCAACAAAGCATTGAAAAGAGTATGCACACGCAATCAAGTAGACACAAGCTAATCTCGAGAACTCTCACGAATGGGATTAACAAATTAACACTCGATTCACTCCTTGGGTTAAAGTGTATCGCTCAAATCGTCAATGTCTAGCATGTACCTGCCATATACTTGAAAAGTCTCTCACTCTCCACTACTTGGATAAAATACATGCTTATAAATCAAAAGGTCTTAAAAGGTGTAATGAAAAACAAGGCTTTGGGTACGGTAGAGAAATTTTGGCCCCTAAAACCATTATATACCCATTTCACGCAAATAACCCCCACCCCTACACTTAATTCATACATTGTCCTCAAGGTATGCAATAAGTGGATGACACTCTAAGCAATTAAGGAAAAGGGAACAGAAAACTCCCCTGATTTGATGAGTGACCTCCCAATGTAAGAATCCGTGGAGATGGGCGCGTCTCTTCGAGCATCCAACATTCGGGGCGAACCTGAGAACATAGAAATCTAAGAGTGAAACTAGAGAATCTAAAAAACAAAATAAATAACTGAAAGCAATAAATAACAAGAATTGGAAATTTGGGTTGCCTCCCACGCAGCGCCTTTCTTTTATGTCTTTGGCTAGACCATACTCAGTTCAATTCTCGTAGCTTGGCGTGTCCAAAGCTACCCTCTCTAAATCCCCTCCATCAAACCCTTCATAGAACGGCTTTAGCCTATGGCCGCTAACTTTGAAAATCTTCCCCGTAGATAGACTTTGTATCTCTACTGCACCATGCTAAAAAACGGTTAAAACAACAAAAGGTCCTATCCATCTGGACCTTAACTTACCGGGACATAACTTAAATCTAGAGTGATAAAGGAGAACTTTCTGACCTTTAGTGAAAGACTTACGTGAAAAACGAGAGTCATGGAACGCCTTGGTCATAGTGTCAGATAAAGACTCGATAACATCAACAAAGCATAAAGATGAAACATCACTCGGATATCGCATGTCATCATATATATTAAATTTAACCATCTCGCCATCGAATTCCATGGTCAAACTACCACTATGGACGTCTACCTTAGTCTTAGAGGTTTTCAAAAATGGTCTACCTAGCAAAAGCATACCGGCCTTGGAGACATTTTTCTCCTTCATATCTATTACATAAAAATCTGCCGRAAAGACCAATTCATTCACTTGAACTAGCACGTCCTCTAATACCCCTTTAGGGTAGACAATAGACCTATCCGCTAATTGGATTACCACACCGGTTGGCTTAAGGGGCCCTACATCCAAAGATGAGTAAATGGCATATGGCATAACATTAATTGATGCCCCCAAGTCCAACATGGTTTGATTTACCGAGACATTGCCTACCTTACATGGTATGGTAAACATGCCCGGGTCTTGACACTTAGGTGGTAACTGTTTTTATAAGACAGCGGACACATTTTGACTCATGCATATCTTTTCGTTACCCTTTAGTTTCCTTTTATTAGTACAAAGCTCTTTCAAAAATTTAGCATATCTAGGAACTTGCTTAATTGCATCTAATAAAGGGATGTTTACCTGAACTTTCCGAAATGTGTCAAGGATCTCCTTCTCTTCACTCTCCCACTTTGTCTTCTCGAACCGGCTCGGGAATGGCGGTGCTTGAACTATCACTTCGGGTGTCTTCTTCTTTAACTCCTCTTCTTTGACATCCTTTGCACCCGAAGTGGATGTCTTGACCTCTAACTCTTCTTCCTCGTGAACCTTTTCCTTCTTCTTCTTTCCAACCACTTGAAGCTCCTTTCCGCTTCTCAAAGTGACAGCACTCACATTTGCCTTCGGATTCGTCTCCGTTTGAGATGGCAACTTACCCTTGTTCACTAATTGTCCAACAGTGGCCTGAAGGTCCTGAATGCTCGCTTGAGTTTTCTGTTGAAATTTCACCATGTTAGCAGCCATAGACTTAACTACATCCTCTAACGACATACCTGAGCCACTAGGAGCTTGCGGTGACACTTGATGTTGATGTTGATGTTGGGCATTTGGCTGAAATGGTGCCTTCGATTGATGTTGTTGCTGAAAGCCCGGAGGTGCTTGGAATTGTTGAGGTTGAAACTGCTGAGGCGGCTGGAATAAACCTCTTTGCTGAAATTGCTGACCTTGTCCTTGTCCTTGCCTCGGGGCATAACTTAGATTCAGATGTTGCCTCCAACCGGGGTTATATGTGCTCGAGAAAGGGTCGGGAGCCCGGTTGTTTGAGTTCTGAAAGTTGCCACCCCCAATGGCATTCACTTGCTCATCTTCTTCATGTAAAGTCGGGCATGCATCGCTGGGATGTGCCACTGATGAGCAAAATCCACATGCCTTGACTTGAGGCATATTACCCATGGCAAGCTGTTTCACAAGGTTAGTCAAATCAGTTATTTTAGTTTCTAAGGATTTAACATGTACCTCACTAGCGCCTCAGCCAATGTCACTCCGAACTCCAAATTGCTTGGAGTTTTCCGCCATGGTGTCTATCAAGGTCCTTGCTTGTGTTGGCGTCTTGTTCACTATAGCTCCTCCGCTCGCARCATCCATCATCTTTCTTTCCATCGGGAGCAAACCTTCATAAAAATACTGAATTAGTAATTCATCAGGAATACCATGTTGAGGACAACTTACACAAAGGCGCTTGAAGCGCTCCCAATACTCGTATAAAGACTCCATGTCCTTCTGCTTGATCCCACAGATCTCTCTTCTAAGCCCGACGGCTTTGGATGCGGGAAAGTACTTGTCGAGGAATGCTCTCGCCATTTGCGCCCAAGTGGTGATGGATCCCGGTGGTAAGTAGAAAAGCCACTCCCTAGCTGCGTCAACTAGGGAGAATGGGAATGCCTTCAGCTTGAGATTCTCCACTGTCGTGCCTTGTGGCTTCATCCCCAAGCACACCATGTGGAACTCGGTCATATGCTTGTACGGGTCTTCATTAGCTAAACCATGAAAACGAGGTAGTAAATGTATTAAACCAGTTTTAAGTTCAGCACTTACCTCTTCCGGCGGATAAGTAATGCAAAGAGGTTGCTCGACGACGTTGGGTGCTGCCCATTCCCTTAAAGTGCGTTCGGGATTCGCCATTTCCTCTTCAGTCTCGATTACCGGTTCTTCTTGCTCATAATGAGGCTTCTCTTCTTCGTCCTCCGTTTGGTCTTCCGAATCGGACGACAACTCAATATCTTTCCAAATATTGAGAACCGGTGAAGAAGTAGAYGCGCTTTGCTTCTTTCGAAGCTTAGCTTGTTTTCTTAGCTTCTTWGCGGTTTTCTCAATTTCCGGATCAATTGGCAATGGTGAACCTGCAYGAAACGATCTTGGCATACACAGTTAAACTTTGTCGAGTCCCCGGCAACGGCGCCAAAAATTTGACGGGTGTCGAGTCCGGCAAATAATAAAATTTATGAAAATAAGCCTATTATCTCTTATACACACTTGTGATAGCGATAAGTAGGGTCGTCTCC